GCCATGGCAGTGGGTACTTGAAAATCTGATGTCATCTTACTGTCTGTCAAGAGATGGACATGGGCAGGACTCTCTGGAAACTTCTCTGGGATCCCCAATAAAAATGGAATGTAGGTCAGGCATATTGTCCCTCTCTTTTCTGAGAGGACCTACTCTCTCCCTTGAGAGTGTCCCCTTTCCCAGTGACTATCCCTTCAATAAACTCATTCCTGTTATTCTGAGCAACATGTCTGAAAGATTTCTGACTTGATCACAAGAATCGAGGTGTGAAGGCGGGAGGGTCTTCACACTGCCTCAGTTTCTCAGAAGGCCTCAGCTCTGTAACAATAACCGTTAAAGTAATTCCCTCCCCTTGCTCCTGGCTTGGTTGAAATTCAAAAAAATATAAGTTCTTTTAAACTGCCACTGTCAACTAGCATACTTTCTGAAAATTTTTTAGAAAATAATAACCATAGGAAAATAGGAAATGAAAGCTAGAAATTCCACCTTTCCCGGAGAGTTAATGGAAATGTCTGGCTGGCATTTCCATACATTCCTACCCAAACAGGAAGTGGGCCCCTGTGACCCCTGGAAGTTTCCAAGATTCTCTTCCAGCTGCATCTCTGAGGCCTGGTAGGATGGGGCCCCATGTTCCAGGCACCCCTACACCAAGGCGGCAGAGCCTTCGGGGACACAGTGATCTGGGAGAAGGCAGACATGATGGTCCACCGACTGTGCCTTCTCTCATGGGAAAGCCCGTCATCAGACACAAAAGCTGTGCTCTGTGTCACAGCTGTCCCTTTCACAAGCCTGCTGCTCCTCAGCAGCAASCGAGTTCACAGTTTGTAAGTGTGTTTTGTGAAATTCCCAATTCCTGTGGCTTCATAACACGGAGCTAAAAATACAGTGTCAACTGGCACACGGCCCAGATTCTGGAGCCCCAAAGAAGGCTGAAGCGTAAATTAGAAGGGGTGTGTGTGTGCTCCAAGAGGAGCAGACAAGAGGCAGTGAGAAGCCCAGGCCATGTGGTGATGGGGGAGGTGGAGGAGGAGGAGGGTGTCAGCACGCAAGGGAACAGGTAATAGAGGAGGGGAACAGAAGCATGATTTTAAAATATCCGTTCCTGGGGGAATGGAGCAAGCACTCGCCTCTAAATTAACTCTGCATTCTCCATCCAAATGACTACTAGTTTTCAAAGTAATAAGCTATTTTACAAGGATTTTCCTATATAAGTTATTAGAGGGCTCTTTGATGTGTATTATAGTCTATTTTATTTATTTTAATTGACTCATAATAATTGTACATATATATGAAGTGCAGTGTGATAAAACTGAAAGATGTACATAATGTGTAAAGGCCACATCAGAGTAACTAGTATTTCCATCTTAAGCATTTATCCCCTCTTTGTGTTGGAAGTTCTTCTTTTCTAGTTCATTATAAAATATATAAACAATTGTTGTCAACTACAGTCATCCTCTTGTGCATAAGAGAACTTATTTTTCCTACCTAACTATATTTTGGTACCTGTTATCTTACCTCCATTTCCTTTCCCTCCTATCCTTCCAAGCTCTAGTGACCACTATTTTAATTTCCAGTCCTATGACATCATACAAGTGAGATCATACAGTATTTATCTTTCTGTGTCTGGCTTATTTCACTCAATATAATGTCTTCCAGTTGGTTCCATGTTACTACAAATGACAGGATTTCATTCTTTTTCATCACAGAATAATACTCCATTGTGTATATATATTACATTTTCTTTACCCATTCATCTGTTGATGGACACCTGGATTGATTCCATATCTTCGCTATTGTGGATGGTGCTGCAATAAACAGAGGTATGCAGGTATCTCTTTTGTGTGCTGACTTCATTTTCTTTGCATACGTACCCATTAATAGGAAAACTAGATAATATGACAGTGCCATTTTTAGTTTTTGAGGAACCTCCTTACGGCTTTTCATAATGACTACACTAATTTTAGTCCCATCAAAAGTTCCCCATCTTCCTCATACTCACTCAAATTTTTTTGTTTTGTTTTTGTCTTTCTGATAATAGCTAGTCTAACTGGGGTAAAATGAGACATCACTGTGGTTTTGATTTGTACTTCCCTGATAACTAGTGATGTTAGGCATTATTTCATATATTTATTGATTACCTATATATTATCCTTTAAGAAAGGTCTATTCAGATCATTTGACCATTTTTTTATTCAATTTTTTTTGTTTTTTGTTCCTTATATATTCTAAATATTAATCCCTTGTCAAATGAATAGTTTGCAAATATTTTTCCCATTCTGTAGATTCTCTTTACCCTGTTCATTGTCCCCTTTGTTGTTATAGCACATTTAATCTAAGGTCTTCGTTTGATCTGAATCATTGAAAGCTCTTAAAATTAAAATGTACCTTTAAAATTCCTTAACCTTGAAGATGATAATTAACTATAGAATATGTGTAAGAACCTGAATTGCAACTCAGAATATCCAAAGGACTAACTTGCCATGCACATGACTGTTTCTTAGATATGCAATGAATTCGATGAAAATTGTTTTTTTTTTCTTTTCTCCAAAATGGAAATTGTTTTATTACTTTGTCTAGTATATAAAAATTCCTTCAATACAGAAACTACATTTAAAAATTAAAAAAAAATATCTAGAATCTCCCAGTGAAAATATTACCAGTGGGCTGGGGTTATGGCTCAGTGGTAGAGCACTCACCTAGCATGTGCAAGGCCCTGGGTTTGATCCTCAGCACCATATAAAAATAAATAAATAAGGATATTGAGTCCAACTATAACTAAAAAATAAATGTTAAAAAGAAAAGAAAATATCACCATTACCATTTGATGAATAGTTCTCTAAATCTTTTTCTAAGCATATCTGTATACAGAAATTTTTCAAAACTAAAATCATACTATTAATAGAGTATAACTCAAACTATTAATATTTGTGTATTAATAATATTTTCTAACATAACTTTTATTGGCTATATTCCATGTTATGGATATACTATCATTTATTTAACCAATTTCCAATCAATAGGCACTTGGAATTATTTCCAATATTTTAACTACTATAAGTAGGTACAAACAGATACAACTACAGAATATTAGAACTATSAGTGCTTATACTTCTCTCTATAAATATATCTGAAATTCGGAGTAAATAGATGATTTTCTATATAAACTACCAACAATGATCCCAAAGGAAAAAAAATCAAGAAAATTAAACGTACCAGTAAGTACAGGAAGTTTAAGGTTTTGTTTTGTTTTGGTTTGTTTGTTTATTGTGGTTTTGATTTGTACTTCCCTGATAACTAATGATCAACCAGTGATTGAGCCCAGGGGCACTTAACCACTAAGCTATATCCCCAGTTCTTTTTTTTTTTTTTTTTCCAGACAGGGTCTTGCTAAGCCACTTAGGGCCTTGATAAGTTGCCGAAGCTCGCTTTGAAATTGCAAACCTCCTGACTCAGCCTTCTGAGCCACTGGGATTACAGGCTTGTGATACCGTGCCCGGACAAGTATAGGAAGTTTTGAAACTACTCCAAGAGCTACCTCTTCTGAAACAGGATGTCCAGATTGTTTCCCAAGTGAAATTTCCCAAATCTTTAAAAATTCCATTTTAGAGTTCCAGAGAACAGAAAAAGAAACAGTTTCATGTTCTTTTTTTTTTTTTAATTCTCAGTACCATTGATACCAAATACAACAAAAATGRCAGAGGAAAAGAAAACAGACCAATCACACTTGTGAATACAAATGGAAGAATCTAAGTACAACTTAGCAAATAAAACCCAGATTAAAGGAATAACACACCTAAAACCAAGGATAATTTATAATAGCAATTAGTACTATCATTACCAGGAAGGTGACAACTAAAACCCACCATATTACTGGTTATTTTTTTTTTTTAGGCCTTTATTTTATTTATTTATTTATATGCAGAGCTGAGAATCAAACCCAGTGCCTCACACATGCTAGGCAAGCACTGAGCCACAACTCCAGCCCTCACAATACTGTTTAATAGAAGAAAATAAATATATAATCACCTTCAGTAACTCATTTTTTTAAAAAATATTTTTTAGTTTCCAATGGAACTTTATTTATTTATTAATATGTGTGGAGCTGAGAATCGAACCCAGGGCCTCACACATGCTAGGCAAGTGCTCTACCACTGGACGACCACCCCAGCCCCAAAGTAACTCATTTCTAACTAAAAAAAAAAAAAAACTCCTAGTAAAATGAGAATGAATGAAAGTTTCCCTGAGATTATACACAGCCCCAAACTTCTAAAATAGTAGTAGCTAGTGACAGAAAGAGAAAGCAAAATAACAACAACAAAGCCACCATCATAAAAATAGAATCAGTGTGACAGAGTGATCGAAAACCCAACCTGTGACACTAGGATCTCTGGGTACAAATTTCATCTCTACCACTAGTTATCCAGCTTTAAACAAATTACTTAGCCTCTCCATTACATTATTCATTTTCAGAGGACTCTTTTCATCTGTAAATTGTGATAAAAGTATCTTCTCACAGGGATTCTGTAAGGATTAAACGAGCTGAAAACAGTAATGGGCTCAAGGTTCTAAATAGATATACACACAGTATCAAAAAGCCAAGATCACAAACAAATGGTGAAACACCCCAACAATTTCCATGGAAGTCAGRAACGAGAAGAGAACAAAGTCAACACTACTATTTAAGTTTTCGTCCTAAAAACATTAGCCAAGTGACCCATCAAGAGAAAAATATATCTCAAAAAAAAAAAGAGAGAGAGAGAGAGAGAAAGAGAAAAGAAACATAACCTTCACAAATACAGAAAGCTAGAAGATAGAATTATCATCTGCACTTGACAAGACACTATTCCTAAAGTACCAAGAGAACCAACTGAAAACTTGCTAGTAACAAACAGGGACATACTGGACTTACTTTATTTACTAGCCCAAAGTAGAGTTGAGAGAGAAATATGAAACAATCTCAGAATGATATAACTGAAATCCTGGACCTTTTGAAAACTCACCTTGGCAATATAATTTTGGGGACTCCCACGTGCCCAGGGCTGTGCAGTTTGAAACTGTATGTTCTGGAACACTGAAAAATCCTTCTTTGCAACCATATCGGACCTGGCTGCCCAGCCTAGAGGTATAATTTCCTATGATGTAGCCATGTGGGACACCAGGAGGGGTGCCACAGTCTATTTCTGAAAACAAATTCATTACCATGTGAATGTAAAGTTTCAAAATTCACAATCTCACTCCACATTTACCCTATTCCTCACACATACCCCAATCCCTATTTTAGATACACTGATTTGACTTTTTTTTTGGTACTAGGGATTAAACACAGGGCTACTTAACCACTGAGCCACATCCCCAGTCATTTTTATTTTTTATTCTGAGACAGGGTCTCACTAAGTTGCTTAGGTCCTTGCTAGGTTGTGCTGAGGCTAGCTTTGAACTTTCGATCTTCCTGCCTCGGCCTCCTGAGTCACTGGGATCAGGGGCCTGTGCCACTGTGCTCAGCTTTTTCCATATGAGTTCTGGCTATGTTTCTAATGATTATCTTTATTCAATCTTCTGACCTTCTCTAGGTAATAGCATCTATACATGCACAAAGATGAAATAATCTAGAGATCAGTCCTCATTAATTTATACTAACTTAAAAAACACCTAGTCCAGGGCCAGGGTTGTGGCTCAGCAGTAGAGTGCTTACCTAGCACATGTGAGGCACTGGGTTTGATCCTCAGCACCACATAACAATAAGTAAAGACATTGTGTCCATCTACAACTTAAAAAAAAAAAAAAAAATTGAACACCTAATCCCATGAAGTAAAAACTGAATTGCAAAATACCTTAAAATATATGTACCTTTATAATTTTCAACATCACTTTTGAGATGCTAGGTCTTTACCAGATTGGCTAGACCTACCCTCTAACATCACAACTGATGTCAAATATCTGTTAACTACTAAAATACCTCGTTTGCTAGTTTTAACTTTTTTAACACGGCCCCTTCTATGGTGATCAGACCTAGACTATCTGCTTTAATTCACAGGTTGTACAAAAGTACAAAGGAACAGATCATCTCCACCCACAGCCTCAACACAGACCTAGGAACATCAGCATGTGCGAGTCACACCACAGATCTCACCTCGAGGGCCTACACTCGTTGGCAGACACCCACCTGTGCATGCCGTGGCATCCGTGGCCGGGTGGAAAGGCTCAGGTCCATTCTTGGGCAAGTATCCATCCTTACAGTAGCATTCGAAGCTCCCGGGAGTGTTGACACATCGTCCTCCATGCCGGCACACGCCGGAAACTTCACACTCATTTATGTCTTCAGACCCACACCAGATACAGGAAAAAAGAAAAACAGAAAGAAAAAAAAAAGAGGGTGGGGCGGGACATTGTAACAGCTGTTTTCTCACTTTTTCCATCTGTCCTTACAAATGGACATGTGTTTGCAATTGTATCATGAACTTTCTGTTACTCCGTAAGAGTTCTTCTCATATAGTCTTCAAAAATAATAAAGCACTGGAAACATGTGAAGTGCTCAATAAATACTGTCAGTGTGTTTTGGAAATTAATAGAAACCAATGACCATCCCCAGTTCCCTAACACCCAATAAAAAGAACACGTTCAATTGCTATAAATAAAGATAGTCCTAACCTCATACTAACATGGAGCTCCAAATCTAAAACGATTTGCACAAGAGTGAAAAATGCTAGCAACTGACAAACAGCGTCTCAGTTCCTGAGTACGGGATGATGTGGCAGGTAGAAGTGGGTAATTAAGAAGGGGCTCACTAATTTTCCCCGGAGTAGAGGCCTTCAAATAAGCTTCAAGAAAAACAAGATATGCTCCTTGGAGTCTTCTCCATTTGACTGAAGATTGCTGTTTTGGATTGGATGTGAGGTATCCCCCAAAAGCTCACGTGTGGGGCAATGCAAGGAGGTTCAGAGAAGAAATGATTGGGTTATTTGACCCTTAACCCATTTGATGAATTAATCACCCGATTGGATTAGTTGAGTGGTAACTGAAGGTAGGTGGGGTAGCCAGAGGAAGTGGTTTCCTGGGGATGTGGCTGTGGGGTATATATTTGCATCCGGTGAGTAGAGTCTCTCTCTGCTTCCTGATCATGATGTGAGCTGCTTCCCTCTGCCACACTCTTCCACCGTGATGTTCAGCCTCACCTCAAGCCCTGAGGAAYGGAGCCAGACTTCTATGGATTGAGACCTCTGAAACTGTGAGCCCCCAAATAAACACTTCTTCCACTAAAATAGTTCTTGTCAGGTCTTTCAGCAGTGGAAAAGCTGTCTAAAACAATTGCCAAAGACAGCAGGTACAAGGGTAAACATTGTATAGCATTTCAGAGGCTGGAGAAGAAACCTCTGTGGAGTAAGCAGAGTTTTTTCCCCCAGAACAGCTTAAAAACTTGAAGAATTCCACTGAGTGTGGTGGCACACCCCTATAATCCCAGCAAGTGTGGAGGCTGAGGCAGGAGGATTGCAAGTTTGAGGCCAGCCTTAGCAACTTAGTGAAATAATGTCTCAAAGTATAATAATAATAATAATAATAATAATAATAATGGCCTGAGGATATCTCATTGCTCAAGTGTCCCTGGGTTTAACCCCCAGTACCAAAAAAAGAGAGAGAGAGAAGAAAAAAGAAAGGAAAGAAGAAAAAAAAAAAGTTCCCTGATTGAAATGACAATCTTCCTAGGACACCTACAAGAACCACAGGAGTGAGTGGTGGGCAGTGGACAGGAAACTTCATGAATAAAGAAAGTCTGGTTGCACCTAGGCTCCGGGATTTCAAAGACCTGTAACTTCAGAAGGACTGATATAAAATGGCCAATATTCTATTCTGCCAGGCAAGATCTTTTTTTTTATCCCCCCCCCACAAAATTACTAACACCATAATTTCATAAAGAAAGGACAGATTGGGGCTGGCATCCTGGCTCAGCAGTAGAGTGCTCACCTAGCACATGTGGGGTTCTAGGTTTGATCCTCAGTACCACATAAAAATGAATAAATAAAATAAAGGTATTGTGTCCAACTACAACTAAAAAAAAATTTTTTTAAATAAAGAGAGGACAGATTAGCACCTCAAAACAGAGAAGAAAACTACTTCAGAATCCTTATAAATTTGTTTAATGTAATCTTGTAAAAATTCACTCTAGTCTCTCTCTCTCTCTGGTCTTGGTCCAGTGCACACCTGTCAGTCACACTGATCCCTGTTTGGGAGCCAGCAGTTCACTCAGTTGCTGAAGGAGCCCACGCAAGCTACCTATTCTGATGAACCTCTCTGTTCCTTCACTGGAGCAAACTTTGGGAAAATCTGTGGAAGATGGTCTCTAAAGACCAACCATTCCTCCCCTTGCATGCTATATCTCAAGAATCTGATTCAATTTAAAAAAAAAAAAAAACAGTGGAATCAGTTCCCCCTTTTGTTAGGTTGGTCTCRAGACTTGCTTTGCCCAACAGAACAGAGCAGAAGTAACAGCAGACTGTCGGACCCAGCTCATAAGAAGCGTGGCGGTGGGGGCTGGGGCTGTAGCTCGGTGGTAGAGCACTTGCCTGGCATGTGTGAGGCACTGGGTTCCATCCTTAGCCCTACATAAAAATAGACAAAACAAAGAAGAAGCATGGCAGCCTCCCCTTTCCTTCGCTTGGAATTTGGTGGCCATTCTGTAAGGAAGTCCAAGCTATTGTGCTTGGGAGAAAGGCCACTCCAAGGGGCCCCCAAAAGGAGACACCATGTGAAGATAGAGGCCATGCGAAAGATAACTGAAGTGCCCTGGCCTCTGGTCAGCATGGAGGCCCTAGACATGCGGGCAAGGCCTGCTATTACGTGCTATTACCTGCAGCTCAGCCCAGCCACCGGCTAAATGTACCACAGCAGATGAAGCAGAACCACCCTGCCAGTCTGTGGGATGGGACAGCCCAGGTGCCGGTGGGCTGTGCAGCAATACATAACCAAGACCCCTTGACATATGAAGAGTCAGCCAAGTCCAAATAAGTGAGATTAAGAGAATAACACATCAATTTTAAAAGGGGACCTCTGAGAAGACAATTAAACTTAGAAACTAAGCAAAATATGAATGCTAAAAATAAAAACTCGGTGGAGGCATTGAATATAGGTTACTTGCCGATGGAAAAAAAAATTGCAAATCCCAACTTGAGGAATTCTCCAAAAATAGATAGTAAAAAATTTTGTGAGACAGAAATAACAGAACAAACGCCAAACGTTATGGAGACGGATCCAAAATATTCAATATCCACTTAAGAGGAATTACCAAAGAGAAGGGAGTGGATATACAAAAACTAGTCTCAAAGGGGAAAAAACAAAAACAAAACTTCAGCTTATGCTTCAAATCCGAATAGACTTTTAAGGCAACAGGCATGTCATTCTCCTGAGGATGATATAAGGCATTAGCTGAAAAATAAAACTTGAGCRTGGCCAGCAGGCTACGGGCTGACCACACCTGCTGCCTCCCTTTGGGGCTCTCACCCCTACCTCCAGGATTGGGATCCCTTGGGACCACCCCTAATTTTTCCATACCCCRAGTGCAGGATTCCTACCCTCCTCTTTTCCCCACCATGAGGTAGAAAAGACAAAGATGTGGCAGCTAGGGAAGGTAGTCTTTGATAGAAATATACGAACCACTTCAACACCTCACTCTAACTCGCAGGCCACATACTGCCTGATCCAGTTCACAGGAAGTCTCCAGAACATGCAAAGCTATAGAGACAGAAAGTGAAGCTGTGATTGTCTAGGTCAGCAGGAAGTGGGAAGCAGAGAGACAAGGGGCATGGGGTTTCATTTGGGGGAGACAAAAATCTAAAATAGGTGGTAATGATTGTGTAATTCTGTGAATATATTAACCACCACTGAATTGTTCACTTTCATTTTAAATGGGTATATTTTAGGGCATGCAAATTATATCTCAATGAAGCTGTTACTTAAAATGAAGGGGCTGTGGTGTAGCCCAGTGCTAGAACACTTGCCTGGCACATGTGAGGCCCCAGGTGCAATCCCCATCATTGCAAAAATAAATTAAAAAAAAAAAAATTAGAGCCGTTCCAAACCTCACAGAATAAGAGAAGAATATACCTTCTGAGAAAAAGGAATGGTAACCTATGAAGAGGAGACCCATTCTGACCTAGGACTTCTTGTCTGAAACACTAAATGCTGCATGGCAGTGGAGTAGTATTTATAGTTCTAAGGAAAGGGGAACGAAACATCATGCTCTATTTAAGAAAAGAAATGACATTTTAGAACATGAATGATCTCGAGAATTATACCACTGACTGACATTTCTTTTCTGAAAATAATTTTGAGAAAATACTCCAGCCGGTGAAACATCCGAAGAAATAAGGTCAAGTAAGGGGAGGGGCTGCTTMGAGATGCAGGGGTCATGAAAAAGCTGAATATCTTCTTCAGTTTTCTCCATATTCATCATTTGTTTAGGAAAATGGGTTTTGTAGATGGTTGGAGGAAAAATCTGAGTCCTTACAACCAATGGAGTCTTAGAAAAGAACCCTGTGAACATATTTCACCATATTCAAGAGAGACTTGGAAAGGAACCCAGAAAATTGATATCCTGAAGCTTGAGCAAGTAACAGAAGGCAAGAGTCAGATGTGGGAGACGTTAACCTGGAGCCAGCGCTCAGGCATTTCCTGCTCACTCCAAAGAGGAGCAGTGGTGTCTTGGTCTGGACCTCTGGTACTTAGAGGATGGAATTTTGCTTCAACCTCCTTTGATCCAGAATCTTTGRCCTCTCTTTCCTTCCTGGGAGCTGGAGCAGTATCACGGCCCCATGTCTAAAGCAGAGTCAGCAAGACTCTAGGGAGACGTCAAGGAGCCACACAGCTCTGGACAGGWGAAAGCAACACACTCCAGGGAATGTACTTGCCCTTGAATTTATATTTCCTTGCTTCCTCCTTCTTCCAGAGAAACAGAACACAACTCTTTAAGAATAAAATCCAAAAAGCCAGGTGCAAAAGTGCACTCCTGTAATCCCAGAGACTTGGGAGGCTGAGGCAGGAGGATCGCAAGGCTCKACAACTTAGCAAGGCCCTAAGCAATTTAGTGAGACCCTACTTCAACAAATAAAAAGGGCTGGGGATATGGCTCAATGGCAAAGCAACTCTGAGTTCAACCTCTAGTAGCAAGAAGAGGAAGAAGAAAAAGATMAGGGGAAGGGGGAGGAGAATAAGAGGGGAGGGGTGGAGAAGATCCAGCTAAACAAAGGAGTGGGAGGGAAGTTCCATTTGGAKAAATCACTGGGAGAAACCTCAAGAAAGCTACAAGTTAACTGGGCAATTCCCCAAAGAGAGCAAGCAGAGTCTCAGAGCCTCAGCGGCCTGCATGTTTGTGTCTGAGGCCACATCAGGCTGCTCCAGAACCCACAATGGCAAGAGCTGAAAAGCTTGAGGAGATGGCTCACGTGGGGAACAAGCCTCCTGCCCTGGGATCTCTAGCCTCATCTCCGAGGGGGTAGGACTAATGTCTAGGAATGACCTCACCACAGGCAAACCTACAGGATCCAGGCTTGGACAGGAGGTTCCGGGAACTGATGAATGGCAAACATGTGTTCCCTAAATTCTTTTCCTGCCTTTACCCCCCTTTCTTAGCCAGGGCTTAGTACTGCTACATTTCACCAGCAGCAATGGCATCAGGCCCTCATGCCCCAAGAGATGAACTTATGAAAAAGAAGGTTGCTCCTGTAATCCCAGCAGCTCGGGAGGCTGAAGCAAGAGGATCATGAGTTCAAAGCCAGCCTTAGCAAAATCAAGGCACTAAGCAACTCTAAATAAAATACAAAATAGGGCTGGGGATGCGGCTCAGTGATCCAGCGCCCCTGAGTTCAATCCCCGGTACCAAAAAAGAAAAAGAAAAAGAAGGTTGCTGCTGCCATCAGGTTGGGACGCATCCGCAGAATCTGGAGAATTCAGTGGCACATAGAAGCTAGTTTGTAGTTTGCAGGTTTTGCTGTAGAGCCTGGCCTCCCCAGAGTCCTATTGGTAGGGAGGTGACTGCCTTAGGCCTCGCCAGTCGTCAGTCAGTCTCCTTTCTCTAGCCCACCCCAGCACACCACCCTCACACAGAATTGCCACAGAGCTTCTTCCTGTGCCTCATGACAAAGCTCCATGATTCCCAGGAGGCATTCAGTTCTGGAGCCAGAACATCTTCCGGTTCTCCAGAACTGGCTGGAATTATCTCCTACTAGAACCCCTGCAACTCATTCCTTGTCTATTTTTGGTGGCTTCCCAGGAGGTCTACCCGCAACCAGCTCTTAAGCTTGACTGTCACTCTATGAATCACAACAAACATCTGGCAGCAGGATTCTTCAGAATCTAGGAACCAGGCAAACACCAGATAATGGCTAATTACCCCCCAAATTTGCTAAGCTCCACTAATGTTTCCCTGGCAAATGTGATTTTGAAAGAAACTCAGTACCAACAAGAAAGTCACCCATCAGTTTTTATAAAGGGCTAACCAGAGGCCTCCACCAGAAAGGCCATGGGAATGAGTGCCAACGGTTACGGGGTTTCATTTTGGGATGATGAAAACACCTAGAATGAAATAGTAGTGATGGTAGCATAACTCAAAACCACCGAATTGTATACTTCAAAAGGGTGAATTTGGGGCTGGTGTTGTGGCTTAGTGGTAGAGCGCTTGTCTAGCAAGCGGGAGGCCCTAGGTTCGGTCCTCAGCACCACATAAAAACAAATAAAGGTATTATGTCCAACTACAACTAAAAAATAAATATTAAAAATTCTCTCTAAAAAAAAAAAAGAAAAAAAGGGTGAATTTTGTGGAATGTGAAGTATATCCCAATTTCCCTAAAGGGGAAGATCACTAAATAATTGCAAAAAGTAGAACAAATAGCAGCAGATCCTGGATCAGGATTCGTTCTTTTGGCTGACACCTATTGGACCTTTGCAAAAAAAAAATATTTTCTTCTTCCTGCTCCTCTCTCTTTCCTTCTCACTCCCCTTCCCCCAAGTCCTCTTCTCCCTCCTCTTCTTCCTCTTCCTTCTTCCTAACTTTCAAAAGTTGACTAAAGCCCTTGGAACGATACTAATAAATAAACAGTTATAAAAGGTTTTCCCAGCAAACTCCCATAGCCTTGAAAACACAATTTCAGGTGTCACATCCTCCAGAACATTTCCCTTCCTCGTTGCCAAGATAAGTGTCCCCCCTGGATTCCAGTCATCACCTTTGCTTTCCTGTGACTAACACCTATGAGGGTAAAATTAGCTGTCTGCCTGTCACCTCTCACTGGCCCAGCCGAGTCAGGGAAGAAGTGCATGAGAAACGTGGGATGAGTGAACTGAATCCTAGAGCGTCATCTTATAAGGTTTCCATTAATCACTATCTTTTCTTGTTAACGTGCCTAATTTAATCTGTCAACACTGGACTTCTGCAACCATGTAGCTGGTAATTTGCTATCTGAAACCAAGAGGATATTATAATACGTTTACTCAGAATGCATTCATTCATAAATCAGCCAGATCCTCTGAGGGTTTCGCCTTGGTGCAGGTCAAGAGGGAGAATGGAGCAGAGCATCAGAAGCTGGCAGGAGGGAATCAAAGCATGCCCCCCCCCTTTCTTTTCCCTGAAAACCTTGAAGTAACTCGGAGCTTTTCAGCAGTCACAAAGTCTTTGCGATCCATCTCAGGACCAGGAGTACTTTTCTGCCTCTCCTTCTCAAGGCCATTCAAAGATTTTCTTAGAAAGTCAGAGAGCCAGGGAACACAACGAAAAGATTCTCATCTAGGAAGGAGATCCTCATCAGACACAAAATTTGCCTTGATTTTGGACTTCCCAGCCTCCAGAACCATGAGAAGGTTGAATTCATGTTGCAAGAAACTGGAAGAGTTCCGCCCAAACCTAGGAGCTGCATGACAAGAGGCTGGCGGTCCCTGAGCGATGTGTCCTCATCATGGGGCGTGTTCACAGAGGGTCAGGGAGAAGCAGCTTAATGTGGACCCTGGGGCAAGTGAAAAATCAAGATGTCCCCTGCACCAGCTGTGTTCCCTGTCACTTCCTGATGCCTGAATGACAGTAACATTCTTTCTTCACAGCTTATTCATCAGTGAGCTGAAAATAATGCATGGTACATGCCACATATGAAATAAAAAGACAGCAAAATGATGAAAATAAATTAATACTCGTCAAGTACAATGCAAACTTATTTCSCAGCGCTTCTTTATTTAATATGTACCTCCCCTCATGAACTATATGTTCCTTAACTTAGGATCTGTGTCTTTCTGGTATTTTACTATATCCCAGGACCAGGCACAAATATTTTTATTCATGAATTGGAATATAGGTGGGTTTTCTTTGTTTTAATAAAAATTTTAAAAGAAAGCTAAAGAGCTATATTATTATAACATGCTGTGAATAGAGATCAGACAATAGAAGAGCTACTGAACTTTTTGGAGTTTTTTTTTTTTTTTTCACCTTTACATTGCAACCAACAGATGGCCAAAAATTTGACCAATAAAGCTATTGTGATTCCAAAAGTTGCACACCTCTCGCTCTCAGCTTGTTCCTACAGCAGGCCAGCCCACCTCACAGGGACAATGTTCTGACCCGCTGTGAACTCACAGCTCAGTCCATCCCCATGTCCTTAGCAGATGGTACGCTCAGAGCCGGTGAGTGCCAGAGCCACCCCAAGGACACCCCATTTGTAGTTATAAGAATTTGCAGCTGGCACAGCTCTCAGAGGGTCCCCCCTCAGGGTTCATGAGAAAAGTGTTCCAACACACAGAACCAGAAAAATAATATGACAATAACTCCCACAGACCACCTGTCACCATCAAAAATTCAGGAGATTTTCCAGATTCTGCAACTTAAAGTATCTTACAGGCATCAAAACACTACATACTTCATAATAACATCACTGGACACTTCAGCATGCATCTCCCTAAATAAGAATTTTATTATCCTATCTACCCCCACACCATTAACCCACCTCACAAAATTAACATTGATTCTCTCATAATCACTAACACTTAGTCCATYGTTACTCATAAAGGACAATCCCTCCCTTAAGTCACACTGAGTCTGGGATGGTCCTCGGCCCCTCCACAGCCCACATGCTGTTCTGCCTCACCAGGTGGCCAACAGCGCAGCCCCCTGAGTACCTGTGCAGAAGGTGCCATCATTGGGAATGAAGGTCTCGTTGTTGTTGGTGGCTCGATAGCCTTCCAGACAAACGCAGTAGAAGCCTCCCAGGGTGTTATAGCAAGACGTGTGTCTCCCACAGACCACCGGGGCTCCAAACTGGCACTCGTCTTTATCTGTTGATACATGGAAACAACACACAGAAAGGCCACCGTCCACACAGCGTTCAGTAGCCCAGACTGTCTCTCTACAAACCCGGAGGTAGCTGTGCTGTGACAAAGCTCACTGATCTAGTTTCACACCTCTTCTCCTTTCATATGCTTCCCAGAGTAGAGGACCCAGGACTCTCTTGGTTGTGAGGCAGGTGTATCCAAAAACCAGCAGAGAAACCCCAAAGCCCAACTGGGYATCCATCTTATAAGAAGATTGGGAGAAGGGGACTCTTTTGAAACTTTTTCATACTTAAAAAAATCAAATCAAATCAAGGGCTGAAGATGTAGTAAGGGGTAGAGCATGTGATTAGCATGCACATGTGCTTAGCATGCCGGGTTCAACTCTCAGCATGATAATAACAACAAGATTATCGCTGTTGGTGTCGTTATGTCATCAGCTTGGGGAAACAAACCCAGCAGAATCCCATTTTTTTTCAGCTCAGCCATTCTCTTGGTTTTTCATGAAAGCCACAGGAGAAAAATATTATATCCAATGATTGAAGTGGAAATTTTTTAACATCTGAGCTGTCAGGAAACACAATGGTATCAGCACTGAAACCTCATCCCGGAACAGGGCTAAGATTATGTCAGGAACAGCTCATACTAAGAGGGACTGTGAGTAACGTCAGTGAGGAGGGGYTGGAATGTGGATGCCTGTGAGGTCGCAGATGCCTGCCCTGTGAGTTTTTCATTAAACAATTTAAAATTGAAAGAATAAAATGAAAGTAAATCTCCATCCCACCTCTGTCCTCTCACCCAGGGGTCAGCAAACTTTATCGCAATCTCTATTACATCTACTCACCCATGTTTGTAGAGCTCCGAAGCAGATATAAAAAATAGATAAACTAATAAGCAATGCTGTGTTCCAATAAAATTCTATTTACAAAAACAAGCAACAGGTCAGATGTGGCTTGTGGGCCATAGTTTGCCAACTCTGCTCCAGCCTCTATTTTCAAAGCGAACTCCTGGAACCAATTTCTTGTGTTCCTTTTAGAGCTGTTCCGTCCAGCTAGGTTTTCATTTGTTTGTTTGTTTGGAGGGGGGAGCTCATCAACTTGAACATAAACTAGTAGTTTGGCTTTTTGTTCTTTAGTGTTTGATTTCACTATGGGTTCTCTTGAATCTGTTTCATAATCTCTCACAACTTGCACTCAATTCTTACTAACTCAAAAATGCCCTCCAAGAGATCTGGGTTCTTTAACTTTTTCTTGTGTTACCATTTTAAAATTTAATGAAATCTGGAACACAATTAACAGGTGAAACTAGGGGTAGTAAAATTAGAGATGTTTGGCCCAAGGATCAAAAAGGTACACAGTGCTTTCAGATAAAAGTCCAGCTGTTCATAAAACAGGAGATTCTTGTCCTGTGTCACTGTTTCGGTGACACTGGATTGGTAAAGGATTCCAGAATTCTGAAATCCCTTGGCTAAATACCATGGTATATTGCTTTTGACACATGTATAACCTCACCTATAACTGCTGACCAAGTACTGTGATGTGCAGCATTCAGTGTTAGGGAATACATTAATGAGGCCCCCTCCTTMCTTTAAGAGAAGTGTCTATTGTTTAAAAGTAAAGGGACATTGAGAGTACAGCCAGCCTCCTTAAGAGAGGGAATTCATCTAGAGAAGGSGCAGGAAAGCTCATCCATGCTCCTCAACTCCAAGTACAAAAATTTCTGATTTTTGCATGTCTCTGCTAGCAAGGGGTCTGCAGAGTGAAGAAGGTTAGTAGGATAAATTCCCTCAGGAGCCCCAGACTGCCAAGCAGCCACACCTTGCATGGGTAGAACCCTAAAAAGCAAGGGTCAAAGAAGATGCAACTTCAGGGTGCAGGAGGGTGATGATGGGTAACTGACAGCTCCTTTCAGCCTTCCCAATAGCTGAGACCAGCAGCATAGCACCACAGCTTATGAAATATGACTTTTTTCAATGCAGGACTGATTGTTATTTTTCTTTAAAAAGGAAACACACACACACACACACACACACACACACATACAAAGATATCACAAGGCTGAATACATTGCCTATCTACAATTGCATGGCAAAATTATCAATATTTTTACTGCATGTGACAGGTTGCAGAGAGGAAACTAGGTGATTATTGTCACATTTACTATTACAATACTGTTGTGAAACTCTCTCTCTCTCTGAATTGGACTTAAATCTGGATATTGTCCATCTGTTGTGGCTTCTTATGGAAGCCACAAGGCCAAAAAATAATCTCAGATGCTTCCAACCTGAAGGACTTTGTATTCAAGTCATCCAAGTTCCCCAAAGGGTCACACCTACAAAAATTTCAGAGGATGGATTTTGGTAGTCATAAGACTAAAATCAAGTTAACTATTTTGCTAATTAACCAAAAAGTCCAATAGGAAATTATGATTTGTTTTTCCCCATGGTATTTATATAAATATTTATATATTTTTTAAAAACACAGAAATCTAGAAATGCAATATTCACTTGAGTTGTTAAATTAACTCAAAACTTAAAACAGATCTCAAATTTCAGTTAGGTCAGAGAGTCAAGAGTCAAGTTTCCAGAGTCAAGTTCAATGACCTCTAACAGGAGGGATACTTCCTGGAAAACATGAGAAAAAGRCTAGATCAAACACTAAAACAAAGATCTATTATAGTAGATAAAATTTCACATCACAAAATCATGTGAACAAAATGTTTTCCCCCCAAGGACACCAACTCTTTTACACTAGAGAATCCTATTTCTTGATTCAATGGTTCAATCTAACCCACCAGTCAGAACTTACCAACACAGGTAGTCATCCCATTGCCCGCAAAGCCATAGTTACAAATGCAGATCTTCTTCCCTTCTCTTTGCTGGCAAGTAGCATGTTCGTGGCAAGTGGCACAGACATCAATACCTGAATCATAATTTGTATATTTCAAAAAAAGGAAAGGTCAAGGTGGGATACATTTAGTTAATATATTTTAAGATAGTCAATTTTCTCTCTCTCTCTCCCCCTCTGGTACTGGGGATTGAACACAGCGGAGCTTTACTACTGAACTACATCCCAGTCTATTATTATTATTATTATTTTGAGACAGGGTCTCCATAAGTTGCTTAGATTCTCCCTAAATTGCTTAGGTTGGTTTCAAACTTGCAATCCTCCTGCCTCAGTCTCCCAAATCTCTAGGAATAAAGGCGTGAGCCACTGCACCTGGCGGGAACCAAGGATTGAATTCCAAAATAAATAGGATAGATCTAATCTCATCTTTAAAGACCTTCAAGGGCGACTTATTGCCCACGAATACAGGGCAGATTCCTCCATGTGTCAATCACCACTCTCATTCACCTAACTCCTGACAGACATTTCCTGCCTCCATGGTTCACAAATCCCAAACATGTGGTACTGTGTGGGCAGAAGAGGCCAATCTTTCCTAACAGACCATCTACTGTCCGATCTCCATGCCACGGTCCTGACAATCCTTCACCTAGCTGGCACCTACTCCAATTTCAAGACCCCGCCTGAGGATCTCATTCTGTCTCAGTCTCCCCCATCCCTCCATTTGTAAGAAAAAGGGAGTGTCTCGTCCTCTGTGCTGACCTAACACCTGCACATTCCCAAATCAATCGTGTTAATTTCTTGTCATACCTGATCCCAGCTCTGTCTTCCCAGTTTGGTTTTATATGAGCCGCTCAAAGACAGCAATTATGACCTTTGTCCAAACCTTATTATGGCCCAGCATAGACACTCACTGTATTTTTATTGACTGGCTGGCTAAAGGGATCTGAAATCCAACTTGCTACAACTCAAAAAGTAAACAGAGGGGAGAGGAACACAGCTGCCTGTTACTCTATCCATTTTCCTTTTAGGGGCAAAAAAAGGAATGTGTTTAAGATGTCAGGGAGATAACAGCCATTTCCCCACAGGATAACCACACCCCAATTACTTAGATAAACAGCAGAAATGTTTGAGGCTAAAACTCCTAAAACATCCAGATTTACCAGATGGTGATATATGGCCCAAGATCAAACAAGAATTTCCACCTGAGGCCATGGGGGATACTGTTTCAGCTCAGTGTCTCTGTAATTTCAGAAGTGGCCCAGTTAAGGAAGATTCCAGCATGGAATTTTATCTGCTTCTTGGCCCCATTATTAACCAGGCAATACAGGCCAGCCCTCAGGCTGCTCCAGGCACAAAGCAACAGACACTAGGAGATTTCTAAATATTCTGTGTCCTGTTTTTCTTCTTCTTTTTTTAATGAATGATAATATAAAAATAAAACAAATTAATCATTACTAACTAATAACAAATTAATCATTACTAATACCAAATTAACCATGGAATATTTACAAAATATATCTCAGACCAGGAAGAAAATGCAACTAATTTCCAAAAAGTAAAAAAAAAATGCAAAGATATTATCTTCCCGCCACAGAATAGTAAATAATAAAGCTACAAAACATAATTCCAGTATCCCCTAAACAAAATATTTGGAAAACATTCTCTCAAATCACTTTCAGGATAGAGGAGATATCCAAAAATGAAATGTTTAATACTTGCTATAAAACTTATATACTCCAGAAAATTCTAGTTTAATGTGTCTTTATATTTTAGCTTTGACTTTTTTTTTTTTTTTTTTTTTTTTTTTTTTTTTTTTTTTTTTTATTGAGCAGAGATCAAACCTAGGGCCTTGGGCATGCAAGGCAAGCACTCTACCAGCTGAGCTATATCACCAGCCCCTTGTCTTTATACTTTAAAAGAAGGGGAGAAACCTTGACACATTAGCACATTACCCATCTGATGACATGGAAAAAAATCAAAAAGAAAGAAGGGGAAATAAAATATATAAAAGTCATAGACACTATCAATTTGTATACAACCAAAATTTTGGAAATTCTTTTTAAATAATGGTTCTTGGGTGCTATGGTTTGGATACTGTCTAAGGTTGTCCTCCAGGGGTTCCTGTGTTGGAAGCCCGGTCCCCAGTGTGGCAATGGGAGAGGCCATGGAACCTCTGACAGGTTGGGCATCGTGGGAAATAATTGGGTCATTTGGAACATCACCCTCCCAAGGGATTAATTAGTTCTCATGATACCCCATTGACTTTCCACAAGAGAAGGGAGTTAAAAAGAGCAAGTCAGGCCGACTCCACCCTGTGGTTTCCTGTCTTGCCAAGTGATCTCTCCCTCAAGTAGTGCTTACACCATGATGCAGCTCCCATCAGGCCCTCACTGGAGGAAAACCAAAGGGGCCACCCATTCTTAGCCTTCTGGCCTCTAAAACTGTAGATTAAATAAACCTTCTTCCTTCTTTTTTCTTTCCTTCTTTCTTTCCCTTCTTAACTAAGTATCTCACTTCAGGTATTTCATAATAGCAACTGAAACAGACTAATAATATACTGGGTCAAGTCAAAATCCTCAGTTGTGCTCAACCACACAATGATGAATATTCACTCCAATTTAATGGGTAGATAGAATGCAATCCTATTAAAAATCTCAAATCTTGGGTGTGGCGTTTCAGTTTGGTATGATGAAAAAGTTCTAGGGATGGATGGTGGTGGCAGCTTCACGACAAAGTGAATGTACTTGATGCCCCTCGGTTGCACCCTCTGAGATGGTAAATGGTACCACTGTCTGTCTGTTTTACCACAATGATAAAAAGATACAGAAAGTTACATTTTAAAATGACTTTATTGGTACATTATACACGTACAAGAAAAGGGACCCTGGCTTAAGTGTACAGTTCAATGAGTTTGACAATGTATACAACCATGAAACAGTTACCTCAATCAGGATAGAAAATATGTGAATGGATAAACACAATTTCGAGTATCCATTTGACAGTGCAGAATGAAGCTCAATAAATGTTTGTTCCCCACAGCAACACAAAGGACGAGACAACGGAAGGCTGCTCAGACCACCTGTAGAACAGAAAGTGCTGGGGTGGGGATGGAGTTGAAGMTAATTATCCAGCCAGGAGGACCCTAGTTTGCAAGGCCTTGTAGAATAGTCCTCTGAATTCTGGTGATTTGAGAGACCAAATGGTCTCCTGAAGAAAGAAACTTTATACTGAATAAAGAGGAAGGGAGCACAACTCCCACCCAAGGACAGACTGTGGGGACTGCTTGTGACCACACATCAGAGTTCCTTGTTCAACACCTCCAAGCCCAGTTAAGAATCACCAGGAGATAAGAGTGACCAATTCATCCCATTTTAATACTAAGTCCTGTGTCCTAGGAACTCCTCGTCTGGGTACAAACCAAGATGGCCAGTCACCCTGAAAAGAGAGGCTTGTTAAAAATACAGAATTCAGGGACTGGGGTTGTGGCTCAGCGGTAGAGCACTCACCTAGCACGTGTGAGGCCCTGGGTTCCACCCTCAGCACCACGTATAAATAAATGAATAAAATAAAGGTTCATCAACAACTAAAACATATTATAAAAAAAAAAAAAAAACATAATTCACAGAGACTCCGATTTGGTGGGTGTAGGCAGGGCCTGAGACTCTGCCCTTCCAAGAAGCTCCCAGGTGGACCACACCATGAGTAGCTGTAAGTCTAGCTCAACCTCAACGACATCAGCCAGAATTCTAGAAGGCTAGGGGGAGGCAATAATGAGAGAAGTCTTCCACCAGTCTAGACTGACACACTATGTAGCTACAGGAACAATGTGACAGGGAGAACAAGCCATGGGAAGGGGATTCTCCAGGCCAACAGAAAGGTCACCAGGCCTCTGCTACAGCCTGCAGGAGGGCTACGTCGGGTAACTGCATCCACGCCAAACTCAACTTTAGCTGAGTGTGGTGGCACATGCCTGTGATCCCAGCTATTGGGAGGTTGAGGCAAGATGATCACAAGTTCAAGGCCAGCCTGGGCAACTTAGTAAGACCCTATCTGGAAATGAAATAGAAAGGATTGTGGGGTGTAGTTCAGTGGTAGAAGACTTGCCGGGCACGTGTAAGACCCTGGGTCAATCCCCAGGACTGCAAAAAATAAAAAGATGACGTCAGCTCTGTCATCAGCAGACTCAGTACCTGAGAGCAGAAAGGTGGCCCCATATAACTGAAGGGTGGGGTCCCCCAGGGACACCTAGAATTCCTGGCAGAGAAACAGGAAAGTTAAGAGATTCCAAAATCTCAAAGGAAGAAAAGCCTGACAAGTACTTTCTGTAACTACCACCTTATCCTCCTGCTACGCTACCACCCCAGGTTCCCTCCCACTTTCCGTTCTGCGGAGACCAAGCCAGCCAAGCCCAATTCACATCCAATGATGAAAGGCTGAGAGGGGTTTAGAGGTCTCACCAAGACTAGAGTTGTCTCTCTTGCTCCCCAGTTATGTGATCTTAGGTAAATGTCAGCCCTCCAGCTTTAATCCTCAAGAAGGAAATGGTGTTGTCAAAATTAAATGAGAAATAAGGCTGGGGATATAGCTCAGGTGGTAGGGTTCTTGCCTCGCATGGACAAGGCCCTGGGTTCAATCCCCAGCACCACACACACATATACACACACACAAACACACACACACACACACACACACACACAAAAGATTAAATGAGAAATAGAAACACTGAAAAAACTTCTAAAGCACTATGCAAATTATATGAATCATATGCCTGTTTCCATAGACTGTTATTTTTGCTAGAAACAGTCATACAAGATGCAGGACTTGGGAGCTGGGGTGGTGGCTCAGTGGAAGGGTGCTTGCCTAGCAAGTGTGAAGCACTGGGTTCAATTCTCAGCACCACATATAAATAAATCAAAATAAATATCCATTACCAATTTAAAAAAAAAAAGATGCAGAGCTTGGTATGTGGCAAAGTGGCAAGGAAAATGGGAGTTATCATCTTGCCACTTACTAGACATGTAACCTTGACTATCTCCGTGCTTCAGTTTCCTGTAAGTCTGTGAAATGCGAAAAAT